TCTGTAAGCAACATTTAATTTTGAAGAGAGAGAAAAAAGATAAAACATAAGGGATGGACAAGTACTTCCACTATCAGATGACGAGGCTAAGGTATTAACTCCCTAACATAATTATAGGCAATACAGAAACCACTTGTCCGTAAGGTAAAACTGTTATCAGAATTTCAAGTGTTTTGTTAAACTTACCATGTGGGTCTTTAGAGGTAAAAGTTTGCAAGGATGTCCTTGTGCTTAAGCACTATACATTAAAGGGACTGGAGGTAGAGATCCGTATGCTCTTAACCTTGCAAGTAAAGGGGGGATAATCAGCATCATAAGTACAGGAACAGAGAATCTAAGGTCTTAAGGTGACAAGAAATTTAAATCACGTAGAGGCAGTAAGAAGAAATTTATATATGGTAAACATTATAAATGGTTAGTACATAATTAGAGAAGCTGTTAAGTGATATTTGATAAAAATAAAATAAAACCAATATTAGTCACTTACCAACATGACCAATAAAGACAACATTGACATGTTCCTTCTTGCTCTTAGTTTCTTGTGTTTTGTTTACAGGTCGTTTCTTGGGTTTGATAACCTCTTCTGCTTCCTCATCGTCATCTTCCTCACCTTCTGGTTCATTTTCTGGAGTTAGAAGTGGATCATTATCTCCATCAGCTGCTTCCTCCCAGCTGTCTGCAGGAGGCGGAGGCGCCCCTTCTCCAGGAGGTTCATCTACTTCAACCCCTCGACAGCATGCCTCATCTGCAACTGTTCCACCTTCAATCAACACACATAATTCAACAATTAAAATTTAATTATTACACATTTGTAAATATGATTGTCAAGTGGAAGTTTTATTATTAAAACATTACAAAATATTGGTGAAAACTACCACATACTTTTATTTCACTCCTATCACATGAACAATAAAGCGTTTGAAACAAGCTCACCTATTCTCCAACAGACTGTCAGAAGTATGTCATCCATTCTAACCTACATTCCCAGTTGTTTTACATGACTATTATATTAATCGAACACAACTATAACCGGGGTTAAAATACCCTAGTAAATTCATACCGTTTGTAACAGGAACCTGCTCGTCGGGTGACTCTGGTGATTCTGTTTTCGGTACTAGTTCGGCTTGTCTTGGTAAGAATGAAGGCACAAATTCGGCTGCGTTCACGTTCAACGTGGAAAATTTCCCAGACAGATCGAGGGATTCGCCAGGCTCGGCCACACCACTATCGGCTTGTTGTTCCCACGAGTCGGGAGCTCCGTTGTTAGCCATTCTATATTGTTGTTAATATTGTCCAAAAGTAGATAACACAAAAAAATACTTCCACAATTCCTTCCTCTCAAATATCCGCGTGTGTTCTCTTCCTTTACCGGAAGGTAATGGCAGAATACGATCTGGTCCAAGTTTATGACACTAAAAAATTTATAAGTAATGGCAAGAAGGTGTATTCCATAGCGTACAAATAAATGAAGTAAGTAATACTGTTTAACATTCAGCGCTAACTATAAGATATATAATGTTATAATAATTAACTTGATTTCACTACAGTATACCGCTGTTGCTGCAGTAATGAACCTGAAAAAATCGAGCTGTAAACCTATGAATACTAAGCATGCATGAATGAAATTATATTTATTTATTTTCACATTAATTTAAAAAGGAAATAATTTTATTCAGAACAATCTTCTATATTAAAACTCACTGAATTAGTAATTTATGCGACTAGAATAGTTGTATCATATATGTTATTAATCCCGCCTCTCAGCCAATCACGAAATGAGTCAATCGACGTCATAATGGGAATTTTCCATAGCCTTTTAAATAATCATACTTCCGTTTCCTATGAGAGTGACAGAAATCTAAGAAAAGTTGACAGTGGAACCACGGTTCCGGAGAATCTGATGTAAATACGTCACTGTAATTAATAAAATGTAATAATTCTTATATAAGATAAGATTAGACCATCCATGATTTGAGGCAGCAGGTACCACGGAAATGTCGGTAAGCTCTTACTACAACCATGGCGGTACAACACAGAGGATGCACATGTTTTTCAGAGAATTTTAAGTTTTACTGTTATTTATGTACAAACATTCAGTATTGGCTACACTGCAAGTAGTCCTATTACTGTTCTGTTCCAATCGAATTTACAAATCGAGATAGCAGTGGGTCAGATTTATGTTATGGAAGTTGCGTGGTTGTTAGTCTAACCATAACCTGTCTAATTTAAAATGTTGACTTGTTTAAGCATAATATTGATTGGTTCGAGTGTAGTATATCGTTTTGTTTCTTAACATAGATTACTTATCCTATAACTCTTGATCGCAGTGCTCCTACTAAATGTGAAAGCTAAAGAAAGTGCTAATCAGTGTTTCATAGTCTTTCTGAAGAATTTCTAGTAATTGTGAGATTTGTACAATGTCTTTTCTACGACTGTGGAGAGACAGTATTCTAAAGTGTGTTAGGTATTACTCTAATAGGAATATATTAAAACTTCATGAGAGAGGAATGTATGATGATATATTTCCCACAAATTCCAAGTAAGCATAATTATTTTACAAGTATGGTATATTCAAGAATGCTGAATTGTAAATTAGAGATTCGTTTATGTAATAGTTATGTAATGTTTTGTCACTGAGGCCAAATTATTCCCAGTGAAGAAATGGTTTCGAATCTGTCCAAACATGAATTGACATCATAAAGGGGACAGAGAAAGAAGGGTAGAATGTTGCAGTTGTTACTTACATGAACTGTGTTAATTCAACAGACAGTAATAAAGTTTTTTACATGCAAAAGAAAATAATTAGAATAATGGCCGTTGTCAAAAGCAGGGTATCTTGTAGAAAATTATTTCGTAAATTTAATATACTTCCACTTGCAAGTGAATTTATACTCTGCTTGCTATAATTTGTGGTGGAAAACATGGATAAATTTAAAAGAAATACAGATGTACATAATTTAAATACAAGATGTAAACATGATCTCTATGTGCCAAATGCTAACTTTACTAAATATCAGAAAGGAGTGTACTATACAGGTATGAAGTTATTTAATATTCTTCCACCAACAATTAAAAGTCTAAATTATGATATAAAGGTATTCAAGCCTGCATTGAAAGATTACCTCTTTACTCACTCCTTCTATTCTGTAGATGATTTCATCTCTGCTGAAAATGTTTAAGCTTTATATCCATAATCTACATATATGTAAAGCAAGTTTTGTATTTATATTTAAAATTCTGAGGTTTATGTATATTAATTTGTAAAATTATTTTTCATACTTGTATTACAGAATCTGAAATTTATGTACGTTGATATGTGAAATGTGTTCTTGTACTTGTGTAGAAAGTTGTGTTGAAAGTTCTGAAGTGTATGTATATTGTATGAAATGACATGTTCTACATCCTTTGGTTGAGTCCTAAGAAGGATTTATGGAATGTAAATAAACTCTACGACGTAATACAACCTAACCATGTTATGGAACCCGATTTTTCACATCAGTCTCAATAAGTTCACAATTTCCTGCTTGTCTGCATTTCTTTGTGTGCCAATTTATTTTGCAGCCAGGAAGTGATCGACCTTCTGAATGCCAGACCACAGTGTGTGTATGCTGGGTTTGATCCAACAGCCAGTAGTCTACATGTTGGAAATTTATTGGTTTTGATAAACTTGTTACATTGGCAGAGGGGTGGACACAAAGTTATAGCACTTGTAAGTTATACTCTCCTGAGTAAACTGAAATTAATCTGAATGTTAGTATTAATGGCACAAACATAGTGTCCACTTTTTATGTAGAAGAAAATAATGTGGAACTTGAAAGAATTACTATCATTATGTTGAAATTTTGATTTTGATTAATATTAGTCTCAAAGTGTATTTTAGTCAACATTGTGTTATGTTACAGACACAATAAGTATGCTGACATGTCAGTGAGATGCATGCCCCTGTATCATTTAAATTCCATTCATTTTGATTTTTACATATCACGTACACCAGACTGTCATGAATGTAGCAGCACCCCTAAGTGAAAAATACATGTAATTGCCCAATAACTGAATAATGTTGGTATTGTTAGTGGTACTGGCAACTTATATCAGCTCCGATCCATGTTGTGAGAATTTGTACCTGCCAAATTGTAGAGAACGTTTAAGATTTCTGAATGGTCCTTATGAATATTAAAATTATTCATAGTGACTTGTGAAATCAATGAGGATCCTAATAGACAATGACCAGTTAGTGGTCCTAAGAACTTTACATTTCATTCACAGCTGAATTTTGTGGTTGAGTGAAAACCACTCTTGCTTCATACTTTGGAGAACACAATTTTGAATCTCAGTTCAGCCATCAGGTAACCTTCTAAGTTTTATGTTGCCCCCCCAGTCCCTCTAATCAAGAGCTCAGATTGTACAGTCAACCCTCCAATTCACTCTGTCTTCATTTACTAATTTTTAGTTAAATCAGTTCAGTATGTATCGCTTCTTCATTTATGTTGTTTTAATTGTAACTTTTATATTTGAAGGCTGTGCATTGAGGCTTACGTGCAGTCCAACTGACCTTGACACCAGTGTACCACTAAACTGTAAACTCCAGAGTTATATTCTAGCTGGTGGTGGTTTAAATAATCTACTCCTGTACGATTAATGTTAATACAATTGCACAGTTAGTAACAGGCAACATAAAAATTATGTTAAATTAACTGTACATACTAATGTGTAAATGTTTTGCAGTACCTAATTTCTATAAGTAAATTGTTTATTGTCTAGGAACTCAACCCTCTTATGGAATATTAGATCTTGGTGTTTTTTATTTTTCATTTGTACACTATTTTCCAGGAGTGTATCTATCACATCTGCACAATGATAAGCTTAAAAATCTGTACTCCTCCCCCAGTATTGTCAGAGTGATTAAGTCGAGAAGAATGAGATGGGCTGGGCATGTAGCGCGCATGGATGGGACAAGAGGTGTGCACCGGGTACTGGTTGGGAAACCTGAAGGGAAGAGACCGCTGGGGAGACCTAGACGTAGATGGGAGGATAATCTCAGGCGGGATCTATGGGAGATAGGAGTTGAAGGAAACTGGATTTTGTTGGCCCAGGACAGGGTCCGGTGGAAGGCTTTGGATCACATAAGTAGGGAAATTACTGCCTTAAAATAGGCCATGATTTTTTCCAGTTCATCACTTACATTCATCCTGATATCTGATATTACATACCCATGCAAATGAAAAATAACCATTAATTAATTTGGTACTCATTTATGTGATTTTTTCCTTCCTGTTCAGGACTTGCAATGAGTTTGTACAGTTTTTGATGTGTGAAATTGCTCTGCATGTGTCTTATTAATATTTCGTGTTATTTTAGGTTGGTGGTGCAACTGGAAGGATAGGGGACCCAAGTGGCCATACTGTTGAAAGGCCAGAATTACAGTCAACACTTGTCAGAACCAATGTACGTTCCATAGAGGAAAATATCCGTCAAATCTTTACTAATCATGAGCAATATCTCTGGAAGAAACATGCAAGCTCACGCACGTTGACTCCAGCAAAGTATGTAAATGCCAGTCTGCAAGTGGAAGCTGAAGTACATAAGTAAACATACAGTTTGATTAACATGATTGACTTTTTCCAGGATTGTTGACAACCTAGATTGGTATTCAGAACAGAACATTCTTGAGTTTGTTAGTCGTGTTGGACGCCACTTCCGACTTGGCACCATGCTTCTCAGGCACAGTGTTCAGTCCAGGTTGTCATCAGAAGCTGGTATGAGTTTTACTGAGTTCTGCTACCAGGTGTTCCAAGCATATGATTGGCTGCATCTACTACAGAGATATGACTGCAGATTCCAAGTCGGAGGCAGTGATCAGATGGGCAATATTGTATCTGGCCATGAGCTTATCTCAAGAGTTACAGATATCAAAGTTTATGGTATAGTGAGATACAGTTTTGTGTATCATTTCCAAGAAATTAACATTTTTCTAAGTATGAGAACTGAACTATTTTTAATGTTTTTTGTTGAGAATTTTCAGCTTGTGGATTTTACTGGCTTTCAGCTGTTCAGTTTAATTTGTTTTATTCTAAAGTATCATATTGTTTAACTCAGTTTACAGTGATCTTGAATTGATATTGTATTCCTAAATGGGAAATTTATGTGTAATTACACCTTACTTTATTGAAGGTTTAACACTTCCATTGGTAACAACAGAAAGTGGCCACAAGTTTGGTAAAAGTGCGGGTAATGCAGTATGGTTGAGTGCAGACAAGAGTTCGCCATTTGAGTTATATCAGTTCTTTGTACGGTGTCGAGATT